GAAGGGGGGAAGAGAGAAGTGGAAAGAGAGGGGGAGAGCGAAAGGGAGAGGGGGTGGGGGTGCACATGTAACGCTATTAATAATAATGAGCACGGTCTTTAACAAAGCAACAACTGACGAAGACTGTGACCCCTCCAGTCGAGAGATGGGCGCGAGAGGGAGGGAATATTGTGGCAGGATGGGCCTAGCAACTTGGTGGTTCGGAGGTTCAGAATAGATTGTTGCAGCAAAGCGCTGCGCACGTGATCACGCAGAGGAGGAGGGTTTAGATGGGTGGGACACGGGTGCAGGGTGGAAGAGGAGGAAGGTCACGTGACCGAGAAGGGCATTGGGAGTGGCACCCAGAGGTAGGCGATCGGGGGCAATGCCTGGAGCCAGATGCTACTGGTGACGGTGGTGATGAGATTATGAGGGAGACAAAGGCGGCCGGGCGTGGTGCTAGCCACCCACCTCCCAGTGTACCGTGCCGGCCTTCATAGGTGCTCGCACTTGCCCCAAAACGGGTCTATTGAGGCTATCGGGGGGCATCTTTGTATTTTATGAGACTCGTGAAAGGAGACCTCAGAGGTCGGCTGCCGAGCGTGCAACATCTGGGGACGCAGTCGGTCGGAAGGAAGCAATGGTGAGCTGTGGTGAGATCACGAAACAATGACATTGGTGGTGACCTCTGATGTCCTTCACCGGGGGTGCAACTGCTGCCGTTCCGCCCTGTCCCGCTCCTCGTGAAATCGTAACGAGGGGGGGGGGCACTAAGTAGTGCTCTTCCGAGGAGCTTTCGCGTGCCTGCAATGATGACAAGACGCACACCACCCTTCACATCACTCCCCCCCCCCGCCCCCCGATATCCCAAACGTCAGGCAACACCCTCAGCACGGAACCCACCCCCACAATCTCATTCAGTCGGAGCTTCCTCGACCTTACCACGAGGTTGGAGGTGGAGGGGGTTGGAGGCGCAGGTGGCCGGGAGATGATGGCAGGTACAGCAAGTTGGTTGTTGCGGGGGGTGGGGGGGTGGGGGACCCCCATGTGTAGCGACACCTCGGGGTGTCATCGCCTCAGTTTACGCGGTGGATTCTCCGGTGACCGCTCACGCTCGTCATGTTTACAATGAACGCCTTCATGTGGCAGGGCCCTCCTGGAACAACAAAGGTGTGTCTTGAGACTCAGCGAGGCTGTCCTAGATGATAAATGCCAATAAGATCATCGTCGTAAATGTCTGCATGGTAAAGCAACATCCGGTGTTCTGTTCACTTTTTCAACTGGCACTCACCATCGTGGTGAAGTATGGTCAAAGAACCCCCCGCACACGGCGTGGGGAGACACGCACATAGCAGTGGGTCCACAAACGAGCTGTACACGCACATGTACCCCATAAGGTATTCGAGATTTGAAGCTTTCGTGACTTCAAGGATTCATATTCTTAGGTTTTTTTCGGTAAAGTCACGTAGGTAAAAAAATAAAATTAATAAAAGTAAAATCATAATCACGACGTTTCGGAGGCAACACAAGCTTCCGTCTTCAGGTAGAACTGTCACAGCACGATAGCTGTATCAAGCAAGAGAAATTCCAAGAAAACAGTCCTTGTATATATACTGGTTGAGGGTAGGAGGAGCCAAGGTAGGCCCTGGATATTATTATTGTGAGGTTCGGTGCGGCTGAAGCACGTTGTTAGGAATGAGCCTTTGTTGTGTAGACTGGTTGTGCTCGGAGGTTCCAAGAGTTGTTAAGGTGCGGCTGATGTAAAGGTGCGTGTAAACGGGACTGAGCCTTTTGTTATGTAGAGGTGGTGCGGCTGAAACCGCTGACAGGAATGAGTCTTTGTTGTGTAGACTGGTTGGACTGGGAGGTTCTAAGAGTTGTTAAGGTGCGGCTGATGTAAAGGTGCGGCGGGTGTGAATGGGACTGAGCCTTTGTTATGTAGATGAAACAGCACTTTGCTACGTTGCTCCGATTAATTCTAGATTTGCCAAATATGTGTGGTAAAACTTAAAGTAGGAAAACCAGTGTGTGAAAAAAGAAGAAACTATACGGTAACTGAAGAATAGTGCCTGTCAAATAAGATGGTCCAAACATATGTAGTTAAATCTTTTTGGCATGGTTAATAACATCTTTCCAATGATTACTAAGTTTGTACCCATCATCACGGTTGAAATTATGTCTGTGTTTGTATATTTGGATGGCTTCGTGTACAAACCTTTGATGGTAACCAGGAGGTTTGCAGAGCACCTTGGTCTCGGAAAAGACAATTTCATGAGAGCCCACAGCGTTGTAGCAATGATCGGCAACGGCGGAAGAATCAGTTTTGCCGTGTTTCAGATCTGACTTATGCTCGCGGACACGATCAGAGATATGACGTTTCGTTTCTCCAATGTAGCAATCACCACAACTGCAACTCAGTTTGTAGACTCCAGGGCATTGTAAGTCAGGAATGACATCTTTCACAGATGGAATTAGATCACGGATTTTATGTACTGGACTGAATCGGACTTGGATCTTATGTTTGTTTAAAATTTTGGAGATATTTTTGGTCACGCCTGCTATGTATGGCAACGTGATAGTTTTGATCTGAGTTTAATGTGGCTGTTTCTGTATGGTGTGAGAAACAGCTTGGTGGATGGTACGGTCAGAGTATCCGTTCATCCTGAGGGCCCGATGTACATGTCTTAATTCACTGGCCAGGTGGTGTTGGTCAGAAATGCCATGAGCTCTGTGGTATAGCGTTTTGATGAGAGAATTATTTAGAGATGGGTGGTGGTGGGAATCAGGTTTCAAGTAGGAATCTGTGTGGGTGGCTTTCCTGTAGACAGAATGTCCCAAGGATCCGTCAGGTCTGCTCTAAAACAGAATATCTAAGAATGGTAGTTTACCATCTTTCTTCACTTCCATGGTGAATCTGATGGATGGGTGTCTGAAATTGATGTGGTCCAAGAAGTGGTTCAATGCTGGGAGGCCATGTGGCCAAATGACGAAAGTGTCATCCACATATCTCTTCCACAGGGAAGGATGCAGGGTGGATGTCTGGATGGCGTCTGATTCAAACTTTTCCATGAACATGTTGGCTATCACTGGTGACAAGGGGGAGCCCATAGGGGTACTCACCCTCATTCTGTTTGTAGAAGGTGCCATTCCAGGTAAAATAAGTGTTGGTGAGGTAATGCCTAACCAGCGCAGGTACATCCGAATTCAATCCATGTTGGACCAAGTCCTCAATTATTGTTAGGGTGTCAGGTACTGGGACTTTGGTAAACAGAGATACTACATCAAAACTGACGAGGATATCATCAGGAGATAGTACCATGTCCTTGACCATAGAGACTAATTGGGTTGAGTTGAGTACTGCCGAAGAGGTCTTGCCTGTGAAGGGAAGCAGAGTATCTGATAGAAACCGGGCTAGTTTGTAGGTAGGAGAGTTGATCGTTGACACGATGGGTCGCAGCGGGGTGCCTTCTTTATGGATCTTGGGTTAGTGTACCATACTTCACCATTATGGTCGTGTGTGGACTATGGTTAAGTCAAGTGGGGGGGGGGGCGGTGGGGGGGGGGGACTCAGGACCGGTTCCTATACAAATCGCCACTGATGCCAGTTACTCACGGCTGGGAATTGAACTCAGGTAGCTAGGTTCGTGGTGAAATGATCCCGACCTCACTGCGCTGGACAGGGCAAAACTCAAAGCTGGCAGTCAGGGATGGGGGGGGGCCAGCGCTCACCGATTTACTCCGGTGCCTCGCTCACTCACTGGCGGTCAGTCGCCTCTGCGTCTCTCTTCTTTGGCTACTACCGTGGCGACTCTCATCGCTTGCTCCACCCGTGTTGAGGACTCGGGACTGCCAGGCTGACTGGTTCGTTTCATCCACACTGTTCAGCCACCACTCTGCAGGTCACAATAACTCACTCGCTCACTCACCCACCACACTGCAGGTCACAACAACCTAACTCCCTCATCAACAGTGCTGCTTGCTGGCGTCTTAGGCATTCGTACCCCCTACCCCCTCCTCCCCCGCTACCCCCTCCTCCCCCCCTACCCCCTCCTCCCCCCCTACCCCCTCCACCCCCGCTACCCCCTCCTCCCCTGCTACCCCCTCCTCCCCCGCTAACCCCTCCTCCCCCCTAACCCCCTCCTCCCCCGCTACCCCCTCCTCCCCCCTACCCCCTCCTCCCCCCCTTCCCCCTCCTCTCCCCCTCCCCCCTCCACCCCCCTACCCCCTCCTCCCCCCCTACCTCCTCCTCCCCCGCTACCCCCCCTACCCCCCCTTACCCCCTCCTCCCCCCCTACCCCCTCCTCCCCCCCTACCCCCTCCACCCCCCTACCCCCTCCTCCCCCCCTACCCCCTCCTCCCCCACTACCCCGTCCTCCCCCCCTACCCCCTCCTCCCCCGCTACCCCTTCCTCCCTCCCTACCCCATCCTCCCCCCCACCCCCTCCTCCCCCCCTACCCCCTCCTCCCTCCCTACCCCGTCCTCCCCCCACCCCCCCACCCCCTCCTCCCCCCCTACCCCCTCCTCCCTCCCTACCCCGTCCTCCCCCCCACCCCCTCCTCCTCTCCTACCCCCTCCTCTCTCCCTACCCCGTCCTCCCCCCCTACCCCCTCCTCCCCCCCTACCCCCTCCTCCCTCCCTACCCCGTCCTCCCCCCCACCCCCTCCTCCCCCCCCACCTCCTCCTCCCTCCCTACCCCGTCCTCCCCCCCTACCCCCTCCTCCCTCCCTACCCCGTCCTCCCCCCCACCCCCTCCTCCCCCCCTACCCCCTCCACCCCCCTACCCCCCTCCTCCCCCCTACCTCCTCCTCCCCGCTACCCCCCCTACCCCCCTCCTCCCCCTAACCCCTCCTCCCCCACTACCCCGTCCTCCCCTCCTACCCCCTCCTCCCCCCTACCTCCTCCTCCCCCGCTACCCCCCTACCCCCTCCTCCCCCCCTACCCCCTCCTCCCCCCCTACCCCCTCCTCTCCCGTTACCCCTCTCCTCCACCCCTACCTCCCCCTTACCACCTCCTCCCCCCAGGTTCTCCATCCTGAGCGATCCGGCCAATTGGCTGCACGTGGATTCGGTGTCCGGCGAGGTGCGAACCGCCGCTAAGCTCGATCGGGAGTCGAGCTTTGTCCAGGATGGGCGGTACTACACGGCGTCCTTCCTCGCCACGGACGACGGTAAGCAGCAATCAGCAGCAGTAGCATCATCATCATCATCAGTAGCAGCATCATCATCAGCAGCAACATCATCAGCAGCAGTAGCATCAGCAACAGCATCATCAGAAGCACCATCATCAGTAGCAGTAGCATCATCAGCAGCAGTAGCATCAGCAACAGCATTATCAGCAACAGCATCAGCACCATCATCAGCAGTAGCAGCATCAGCAGCAGCATCCTCAGCAGCATCCTCAACAGCAGCAGCATCATCAGCAGCAGCAGGAGCATTCTCAGCAGAAACAGCAGCAACAGTAGCATCAGCAGCAAAAACAGCATTAGCAATGTTATCTTCGGCAACAGCAGATATAGTATCAGCAGCTAGGACATCATCGTCATCAAAGTGCACCTAGCCTGGCACAGACACAAAATAATTAGCTTACTTTGAAAAATAAATCACTCTCAATTTATCTTGTGTGTACCAAACTATATATTTTTTTATTTTACCAGGTAAGGCCCACTGATCTATATGGCTCGTTTGTTTCAGAATCGACCGCTGGAAAGTATGATCTTGAGTTTTGATTATAGTATGCTGATCTTTAAAGGTGTATTGAAAAATGTTGATACTGATACTCCTGCTGTTATGGAGTGACTCATGCAGCCAGCTGAATGAGTCACTCCAACTTTGCAGCCAGCTATAGGCTGCAAAGTTTGGTCGTACATGTTATGTATATCGTTTATTGTTAAGTTTTAATCACAGTTCCTATGATCACCGTTACATTGTTTTTACAGCTTTGTTTTGGTAATTTTGAAAAGGTTTGTTTGTTGTAGTACAGAGGTAGCCTGATAACTTTTATCTAATTGTCTTATGGTTGGTATTGTTTGACTTACATCCCACTGGGATTTTTGCACCCAACGTTGAAATATTGTGTTTTTTCTGGAAGACTTTGCTGTTTTTGGATTTTTCTGTTGCGTGTAGTCACTTTAAGATGTTTCTTGTTCATGTTGTTGTTTGTTGCGGTTGCACCTGATTCAAGAGCCGCATGGCTCACAGGGTTTTATATATATGTATAAGGCAAAGCTGTGATTATGTGTCTGTTCAAAATGTTTAATGTTCAGCTACTTCCCGACATGCAACAAACTTGAAATTTGCCATGTGGGTACTTTCCAGACTGTACACCATGCAAACATTATAAAAATAGACTTTTGTATTTTTTGGGGTAACTGGTGTGGTGTGTGAACATCGCCACTGGGGAGACAAAGGCGGCCGGGCGTGGCGAATCCAAGTCCCGGGCGAAGCCAGGGTAGTAAAGCTAGTACCTAATAAATGAAACTGTAAACTGAAATCCTACCCCCTCCCCCTGCCCAACCACCGCAGGGAACCCCCCGGCCACGGGCACGAGCACGCTGGTCATCACCCTCGCGGACGTCAACGACAACGCTCCGACGGTGACGCCGCTGCAGGGCCGCGTGTGCGAGGGGGTCCGCGGCGTGGCCGTGGCGCTGCTGCGCGCCTCTGACCGGGACGCGGGAGCCAACGGCGGCCCCTTCTCCTTCGTCCTGCGCGGCGCCTCGGCCGCCGCGTGGAAGCTCGAAGGGGCCAACGGTAACGGCCCCGCGGACGCCTGGCGGGCCCCGGGTTGGGGGTGCGGGGGGGGGGTCCATGCGTGAGAACTTTGGGGCCGTCCATAAATGACGTCACTCACCTAGGGGGGGGGGGTGGTCAGACATTTGTGACGATGTGACGAGGGGGGGTGGGGGGTTTGAGAAATGTGTAACTTTAAATAAATATAGACAACACGTTCTACTTCATTAAATAGACTTTTTAATAAATGTTTTATCCGACAACATCAGAGTGTAGCGCCACATTAAATACCCACTACAATGACAATAGTTTAAAGCTTCTCAGCACATTTCCCCCCCCCCCCGCACGTGTCCCCACATCTCCCAACGTCAACCAATGTCTCACCTATGCGTCCCCACACATCTCCCCGAATCTCCCCACATCTCTCCTATGCATCTCCACATCTCTCCCCATATCTTCCAATGTCTCCCCATATCTCCCAATGTCTCCCAAAGTGTCTACTATGCATCCCCACGTACCTCCCCGTATCTCCCATACGTCTCGCAATGCCTCTCTCTCTCTACCTCCCAACATCTCACATCTCCCCCGTATTTCTCCACATTTCCCCCCATGTCTCCCCCCCCCCCCCCCCCCCCCACAGGCACGCACGCTCAGCTGGTGCTCACGCGGCCGCTGCCCCTGGGCTTGCACCGCGTGCAGCTGCGCGTCACCGACTCGGGCGTGCCCCCCCAGAACGCCGACGTGGCCTTCCAGGCGTCCTGTGTGCAGTTGCCCCGCAGGGCTCAGAGCCCGACTGCAGCGCCGCGGGGTCCCCCCTCCTCCTCCTGCTCGCGGCCCCCGGAGGCTGCGGGCTCCTCGCCGCCCTCCTCATCGCCGCGGCGTCCACGCTGCTCGCCTTCCTCTAGGGGGGGGGAGGCGAGGGAGTCTCTGGCTCCCCCTGTGCATGTGGTGCCCCCCGACTTCCCCAACCCGCTGCCCCCCCCCCCCAACCGCCATCACCCCCCCACCACCACCGCCGTGAACACGCCACGCACACGCCACGCACCGTGTAGGCAAGCAGCGCGCGCGTGGCGTGCTCGTGGTGACGCGCAGCGTGCGTCGCCGCGGACACGGCCAGGCCACGTGTCGCCACTGACGCACCGACACAACACGCAGCCCAAGACAAAGACAAAGATCCCCCGTATGGCCTTGAACAGACTGTTGGGGCAAGTGTTGCTAGCGAGCACACGCACCCCGCACGGGTCACCACACGCAACAACAACGGCAGCAGCAGCAGCCAACAAAAGCAGCCGTGTACCACCAAAGTGGTGCTGACGTCACCACGGCGCCAGGCTAGGTGCACACACACACGTGGTCTCGCCTGTCTCCACTGCTAGCCTGCCGTGCTCGAGTGGTGCTGCAGTAGCACCGTAGCTACACCTGTTGGCTCTAGGGGGGCAAGTTGATGCAGCACACCGCTGTTCTCAGCTGCCCTGCGTGATGTTAAAAGAAAACACTCCAAAGCTATTTAACTATTTTTATTTTACCAGCTCTAGCCCACTGAGCTTGCGTAGTTCTCTTTCAGAAGCGACCTGGCCACCAATGACAACGCAACAAATCGTGTGGAAATCTAAAGCAGTCAAATACTCTAAACACACGTGGAGGAAAAAACCTGAGAGCCCGGAGAAAAATCCACGCGACCACGGGGAGAGAGGCACGCAAACCCCACATATGCAGTAGGCGTCAGGGTCGGGATCGAACCCACGACTTTCTGTGTACCGGGCGAGGTAGTTAACATTTCGCCACCGTGGCGTCCCTTTGTACTGGTGGGGAGCGGTGGTGCCGTGGTTAGCGCGCTGCGCGACGAACTCGGCCACCCAACTTCGATTCCTGCTTAAGACCAATAACTGGCGAATAATTTAACCCGTCCTCGGCCTCCCCTAACTCGACTCAGCCTTTCAATGAGTACCTGGTGCGAGAGTGTAAACATCAGCACTGGGGAGACAAAGGCGGCCGGGCGTGGTGTTGGCCACCCACCCCCATGCGTACCGTGCCTGGCCTTCAAATGTGCTCGCTAACAGCACTTGCCCCAACAGTCTGTTAAAGGCTACACGGGGGATCTTTGTCTTTGTATAGCACTTCTCCTCACTGCCCCCCCCCCCCTTGTTACTCCACTGCTGGATAAGTTCGCCCTCTGCTACGCCGTGCGGGTTGGTGAGGGGTCATTTGACCATACTTCACCGCGCTGGTCAATGAAGCTCGGTGAAGTCGGGGAGTAGAGACGATGTAGCATAGAAGTGCAGTACAACAATATTTTTTTTCTGATGAGTGAATAATACGCAGTTGGGATAGCAGTGGCACAGTGGTTGGTTGGCGCATGCTGTGCTACGAACCCTGCGATACAAGTTCGATACCCAGGCCAACAACGACAAACGTGAGCGAGGCGACGAGTGCTACCTGAACCAGTACCTGGACTGTCTCTCCCCGGCAACCTTCACCAACGCGCACTGGACCAGCGCGGGGAAGTATGGTCTAACAACTCCCACCGTGCACCACGCGGCGTGGGGAGGCCTTCATTCAGCAGTGGTTTGAGAATAACGGGTAGGGGGTGGTGCTGCTGTTGTTATAATTGTTCAATTGTTTCAAACTCCACCGGGGGACGGCCCCGGGACACGCCACACCCGCCCGTGTGTGCGGCGTCAGCTCCTCGACGAGGAGCTGTGAGATGAACAAGAGAGACGGGAGCGATGCCGGTAAGAAGTAAAGATTTCGTGGAACACTCCACAGTTTGGGAAAGAAGCGTGAACACGCGAAGGACGGAGAGAGAGAAAGAGATATTCCTCCGGGAATTCTATCGCACTTGGGGCGAAGGTTCGATCGACGAGGAACTGACGCACACTCTGGACCGCGCGTTGAATTTCCCGAGTGATCCACGCGTTGCGGGAATGGGCCCCCCTCGGGACAAGAGGCACGCGACGCGGTGTGGTGAGCGGAATTCCGTTGAGGAGTTCCGAGATCGAACCTTCGCCCCAAGCGCGATAGAATTCCCGGAGGAATATCTCTAAATCTCTCTCTCTCCGTCCTTCGCGTGTTCACGCTTCTTTCCCAAACTGTGGAGTGTTCCACGAAATCTGTACTTCTTATCGGCATCGCTCCCGTCTCTCTTGTTCATCTCACAACTCGGCAAATCTTTACCTCCGGTCCACAGCTCTTTCTCATTTCCATCCCTCGCTGCGTCTCTCTTTTGATCTCGCCCATGAACATCATCATCATCTGTGCCACTGCGTGTCGCAGTGGCTCGCAGCTCGGTAGGCCACTCAGCACCGAGTGCCAGTTGAAGAGGAGGCCGACCGCAGTGAATACCCCACGCATTCGTCAACAGCACCGGCCGATGGAGGAACGTACATAATTGGCGACGTTTCGGGCAATGGGCCATCTTAAGGGCGGGGAGAATTTGATTCCTCTCTATGATGTGGAGAAGGATAACATCGGCGGAAACCCCGTTCTGTCTCCCCAGACATAAATAACCCATGCGCCAAACACCACCGAGCAGCATTTTGTTGAACCGGGCAAAACTCAACTCTGGACCGGTTTCAGCCTTTTGGGTCTCATCAGCAGTCACGCCCGTTGTAACGCGCTGCTGGACGCGTGGATGTCACCGGCAATAGCGCTCGTTATGATTACTCGGATGACCCTGTGGGTATTAGAGCACACGCGTGTTATGTGTTTCTGCTTTTAAGAAGGGTAATTGCCCGAAACGTCCACCCATTTTACACAATTTCCTCTTTCGGGCAGTGTTATAATAATAAGACGATGATCAATGTATAACACACTGCAAAATATTCACTCATAAAGAGAGGTGGAGGACGACTTATACGTTGGCCAAACGTTCCTTGCTTCCAGGGACACGTACGTACATATGTTGAACTTCTTTCGCACCGTACGCAGGCAACCGCGCTAATCGGAGGTGCGGGGGAAGGACAACAAACTAAACACAAAAAGCAGTTCTAAACAAATGAGTTTTCAATCCAGATAGTGGTTTCCGAATATCGGAAGGAAGAGCGTTCCAGACGGCCACAGAAGCCCATAGAGATAGGGCACGATGTTCACACACCGCACCAGCAGTTCTAAAGAAATGAGTTTTCAATCCAGATGGTTTAAAAGTGCATAGCTCCCTGTGGTTTCCGAATATCGGAAGGAAGAGCTTTCCAGACGGCCACAGAAGCGCATCGAGAACGATTCGGTGGCCGCAGTCTTTGTTCGATGGCTAGAAGCTAGTAGCCAAAAGCCGCGGCTGCTGCTCCTTGACGAGATCATCAAGGTGTTGTGTCTTAATAATAAGACTAATATCCGTGTTATCACACGCTGCACAATATTCACTTCCAAAGACAGAGAGTGGGGGGGGGGGGCGGAGAGGGCGACTTGGAGACCTCAGGAGACATGGAGTGTTAGGCCAACGTTAGCCGACGCTGGCGTTCATTTGGGGCAAGAACTTCGACAGACAAGCGAGAAGGCAGCAGCCAGGCGGTGAGCAGGCACAGCGACCACCAACTGCCCCAAGCTCTGTAATCATCTATATATCACGGTGTCTCGCCAACGAATGGGTGTGCGTGTGCTATTGACGAATGTGTCGAGTGTTGTTGTTTTTTTCGTTTGTTATCTGTGCTTGTGTACGCCTGCCCATCGCCGCTGTTATCACCCCACCAACGGACTTGATGGTGAAATGTTTGTGGGAGTTCCACGAGGGATGCCGGAAGGACTGGGACGCTCGCCACTGACGGCGGCCGCGATGTGGGTGCGCGGGGAGGGGAGACTGCGAGTGGGAGGAGCTGCTGTGAGTGGGAGGAGCTGTGAGTCGGAGCTGCTGCTGTGAGTCGGCGAATAAAGAGATTTCATCGCGGCCACTCGCAGCTTCTTCCTCCTGCTCACCGCGCCACGGATTCATCTCCAGTCCACACGCACCTTCTTAGAGATCCGAGCAACGTCGCACAACGACGACGAAGATTCCCCCCCTCCGTGTAGCCTTAACAGACTGTTGGGGCAAGAGCTGTTAGCGAGTGGCACGCGAATGGGGTGGGTGGCTCTTACCACGCCCGGCTGCATTTGTGTCCTCGGTGGCGATGTTTACACGCCGCACCAGGTACTCATTTGAGGCTGAGTTGACCTAGAGGAGGCACAGGACCACTTCAGATATTCGCCACTGATATTGCTCGTGAGCGGGAACTGAACTCGGGTCGCCAGGTTTGCAACGCATCGCGCTAACCGCTGCGCCACCTCTCCCCCATACTGAGACATGCAAAGACAAATTCTCCATACAGCCTTAACAGACAGTTGGGGCAAGTGCAGTTAGCGAGTAGCACCCATGAAGGTCGGCACGGCTCACGAGGAGCTGAGTGGCCAGCACCACGCTCGGCCGCATTTGTCTTCCTCGTGCCGATGTTTACACACCGCACCAGGTACTAATTTGAGGCTGAGCCCACCTAGAGGAGGCCCAGGAGAGCAGCACGCTAACCGCTACACCACCGCTCCCCATACAACCGCGCGCACACACACAACAACGCGTGTGAGTCGTAACACTGCCCTAAAACGGAACGAGAAAATGAGATATATTTACAATTCATCATTTCAAAAGTGACACCGCCTAATCGTCTTGACGCATTCTTGCGCGCACCACTGCCACAGCAGTCACCAGATTAACGAGGTGAGCTTCGTAACCCAAAATTGGCACCGTGTTCATTTCCGTGGTGGCCGTTACTTTCCGAGGCGGAAGAAATCATTTACTAATGTGCCATTCCCACCCCCGTTAACGAACCGCACGCGGTTTCACCCTTACCTCATGTTCACCACCGCTGCGGATGATGGGAACAGTAACAGCAGCGGGCACGTGCGCAGGTGTCCCCTAGGTCGACTCGGCCTCAAAATTAGTGCCTGGTTCGGTGTGTAAACATAGCCACTGGGGATACAAAGGCGGCCGGGCATAATGTGGGCCACCCACCCTCTCGTCGCGTGCCATGCTGGCCGTCATGGGTGCTACTCGCCAACAGCACTTGCCCCGACAGTCTGTTGAAGAAGGTTGTACGGGGGACCTTTGTCTTTGGTGGATTGCCGCATACGCGACGGATGGGACGACATGGGGAGGCCTTCATCCAGCAGTGGATTGATCATGGCTGATGATGTAATAATTTACCACACTGTTTCCTTATATCATGAAATATATGAACACGTATAGATTTGTTTTTACAAATCATTTTACCGCAGCAATGTTGCAAGGCGAGCAAAACTCTTGGTCCGGTTTCGACACGCGGTGCCTTATCAGCAGAGTGCAGGCCTTGCTCGACACAGATACTCGAATTCATACCAAAGGAATCGAGAGAGAGAAAGAGAATGAATGGGTGTTGAGACGTGGGAGTCTTACCTAAGCCACTTTGACTCACAAGCAACACCGGGTAGGGCTTTCACACGGCCAGAGGAGCAGCAGAGCAGAAGGAACTTTCCCTGTGCTGGACATCCGTGAAAAAGAACTTCTGAGGCAATCGGATTTCTCCAAGAAAAAATAGAGATTCTGATTCTGAAACCCAGTGTACGGGGGAGCGGTGGTGCAGCGGTCAGAGCACTGCGCTACAAACCCGGTGCCCCGAGTTCTGAAAACCCCGCTCACAACCAAAATCGGGTGATGAAATATCTGAACTGGTTGTGGGCATCCCCTAGGTCGACTCAGCATTAAATTGAGTATCTGGTGCGGTGTGTTTATATCATACAGTGGGGAGATAAAGGCGGCCGGGGGCGGTGCAGCCCCCCTTCCCCCCCCTCAACCCCGTCGTGTTCCCGTGCTGGCCTACTCGCGAACAGCACCTTCCCCGACAGACTTTTAAGGCTTTCCAGGAAATATTTATCTTTTGAATATACTTGTACGTGTGCATGCTTGTGTGCATGCAAATACACGTGTGTGGGGGAAGTGTAGTGGTTAGCGCGCTGCGGTACGAACCAGGCGACACGGGTTCGATTCCCGTTCACGGGCAACACCAGTGACGATTATACTCGTCTACAGGCAAAATGCTTCCGAAATAAATGTAGTCCAACTTTACTAATTCTGGGTCACTGAGTATGAAAATGAAGCTTAAAATTATTGATTGGCTCTAGTTTTAAATATATGCTTCTGGGTCAGTATGTACGACCTTTGACATGAGAATGACGGACGAAAAGTGAGTTATAAATGGAATGGATCTCAATTTAAACGAGAAATTACTCAAATACATATTTGACTGGGTTTGGACAATACTTCCTTTTTGAACAAAATAATGAATGATTCAATCTGAACCTGGTATTGCATCATACATGTGTAGTAAGTAATAATCGACGGCTGGGGCCCTAGGGGAGGCTACGCTGACCCGACCGTGCGAGGGTCTTCGGGTCCTGACCACTGGCCTCACTGAGCTCCGGCCCGTTAGAAGGATGATGGAGCTTGTGGTCCAGCAGGGTCCTAACTTCAGCCCAGGTCTTCAGTCTTCGGCTTGGAGATGACTGAGACAGACCCTTGAGAGGTCCGGCTTATGTACTGGTTCGTGGCTTGCTCCGCCCTAGCCACGCCTACCTTCCAGAACTTTCTGGAAGATGACATCATCCCCCAGTCCCCCCTCCCGGGGTCCGGGGAATGTGTCCCAGGATCCGCTTCCCAGGCATTGTCGTTGGCCCCTTGGGCCGTGGTCACTGACACTGGCGTGATAGTGCTCCCAC